TTTTATTAATGAATTGGATGAGGGAGTGCAGGGAATGCTTGTCAGATTTGCAGATGATACCAAATTGGGTGGAATAGCTAATACGCTAGACAGAAATAAAATTCAAAATGACCTTGATAAGATGGAGCACTGGGCTGAAAGCAAGAGAATGAAATTCAACAGAGATAAGTACCAAAGTACTGCACCTCAGAAAAAGAAATCAATTGCACAGTTACAAGATGGGGAATACCTGGCTCAGCAAAACTACGAGTGAGAAGGATCTTGGAATTGTTGTAGATCACAAGCTAAATATGAGCCAACAGTGTGATATGGCTACGAAAAAGGCAAATGCTATTTTAGGCTGCATTAAAAGAAGTAGTTTCCAAATCCTGCGAGTTGCTACTCCCCCTCTATTCATCACTAGTTAGGCCTCACCTTGGGTATTGTGCCCAGTTCTAACAAACTGGAACGAGTTCAGAGGAGGGTGACAAGGATGATCAGGATGCTGGAAACCAAGCCTTATGAGGAAAGGCTGAAAGAATTGGGCATGTTTAGCCTTGAGAAAAGAAGACTTAGGGCTGATATGATAACACTTTTCAAATATTTGAAAGGCTGTCATACAGAACTTTTCTCGATCATCCCAGAATGATAACACTTTAACAATGGGCTCAAGTTAAAAGAAGCCAGGTATCAGTTGAATATCAGGAAAAACTTTCTAACTGTTAGAGCAGTACGACAGTGGAACCTGTTACCTCAGGAGTTGCTGAGTGCTCCAACACTGGAGGCATTCAAGAAAAACGTAGATAATCACCTGGTAGATATGCTTTGATTATAGTCCTGCATTGAGCAAGGGATTGGACTTGATGGCCTTGTAGGCCCCTCCCAACTTTACTTTTCTATGATTCTATGATTCTATAATGGGTGTCTATATGGGACTTTACATGTTCAGAGCAATATTCTGAACATATATATAAAAACATGTTGCCATGTTTTTATATGGGACTTTACATGTTCAGAGCAATATTCGGTCAATATATATATAACCTAGTTTCATGTCCGGTTTATAGAGATGGAGTTGATTTCAGCTAATTTACTCTCAGTGAAATTAGTGGGACCCAACTGTTTTAAATCCAAGCTTATGAGTTGGGGAGTGAACCATTCAGATGCTTGTCTTGTATTATGTTGCCATGTTTTTACGAACTGTGATTAAAACTGCTATCCTAATCATACTAATCTGGGAGTAAGACTCACTGAAATCAATGGCACTGGACATCTATGGCGCTTCTTTGTCGGTGTCCTCACCAGGAAGCTGCAAAGGGGAAAGAACCAAAGAGCAAACTTTCCCCAGTACTTAATGCATAATGCAGAGCCATCCTTAATATCAGGGAGAGTGAAGCAGTAACCCCATGCAGGAATAACAGGGTGTCATTAAAGGGCAAGAGATTTTGAGTTGTTTAATTTAATTTAACTTAATTTACATTGCCAGGAGAGGCACTTGTGAGTTTTCCTAATATATGTTAAAATGACTCGATTGGCTTAGGATACCAGCACCTTGTTTTGGGTAGGCGAGGAATATCATTAGCTGCCTGGTTGAGGCAGCAAAAAGTCTTGGATTGACCAATTTTGCAGAGATATCTGGATGGATTTCGGCATGTTTGTACTCTTGCTCATCATGTCTTCAAAACAAAATATCCACAGTCTCCTTGACACACAGTGATTTAAAACTGTGTTGCATTAATTGAGCTCACAGTCCTAGGTGTACAGAAAAACCCCTGTAGCAGCACCTTCATTGTGGAACTCCTTCCCAAGAGAAGTCGAGATAATACTACCTGTATTTAGTTTCTGGTGTGCAGACCTTTGTTTATGGCCTTTAACTTTAAAGACTGGTTTTAAACTTGGTTCTAAACATTAATCCAAATCCTCTTGCCCACTTACGTTGCATAATACTAACTATGTAACTTTTGGCAGCAAACTACTTTAAGAAATCATCACATACTTTATCATCTGCATACTCAGTTGTGTGAGTCAGCTTGCAACTGATATCTATGATGAGTTTTTAACAATGCAATTTGTCTCCAAAGATTTTGTCATTTGTGTAGCTATGCAAGAGGATTTCGGCCATTGTTTTTAATCTGTTTATTTAAATTTACTTTATTGTATATCAGTTTCAGATTCTTAGTGGGCAGGAAAGCAATACATGATTTAATAAACAAATATTAATAATAAAAATGGCTACATTTTCATTTTAATGAAGAACAAAATTTGCTTGTAAGCCTTTTATTTACTCTGCACTTTCATCCTTGTCTTGTCCCAGCTACTACTATCTAGTGCAGTCAGTTGTGTCAGCAAAAAGCAGGATTTTATCCATACAAATTGTACTTGGAGATGGGCACATATACTGAAATGAAGTAGCATAGTCCTCTAAAGACTTTCAGACTTTGCTTTAACAGTTTACACATACTTTGTTGCTGTGATTACTCATTAATGAATAACAATAAATATGTCCAGGTAGGATGAGATTATTTTTTACAACAGCTATTCATGGCCTGCATTTTTTTTCATAGAAGAGCTCCTGAGCACCACCTACTGGACATACTGAAGTATTATGCATACTACAATTTTCATTGTTGGTCTGTTTCAACAAAAACAAAAACATTTGACACTTTTAAGACTAATACATTTATTTTGCTGTGATTTTCCATACAGTCAATTTCTTCAAACAAACCACTCCTCTATCCTACAACAGTTTTTTAAAAAGAGTGAAGCAGGGCCAAGCATTCTACAGTGAACCATATTCTGGACACCCAACTAAGCTACAACCTGTATTTTCTCCAGTTCTGTATTTTCTCTAGAACCACTAGTTCTAGAATGAAAAACAGAAAAGGTCTGCTGTGTGTTTAGTAGCTGGATAGCAGTGAGATCTTCAGCAAAAGGAATTTTGCATGACAAGCTACACCTTCAGAAATTATCCCTGCCAGACAATTTAGAACAGTGGTCAGGGAACAGGGGTAAAGATAAAAATGAATATCAAAGTGGAAGCCACCTCTCCCAGGTAATGAGCAGAGTGCTACCCCCACCCCCTACTCCCACCCCTGCAGCCGAACTTCAAACTGGAAGCCATCTCGCCCAGCTACCTTCTTTGGTTGCAGCACTTGTAAATCCTCCTTCTTTTAGAGATCGGAGATAAGGCTACTTGATTGGTTACAGCTGTAGAACAGCCCCTGGCAGTCAATTCGGCTTGTGACTGACTGCTTCCGCAGGAGGTGACTGCAAGTAGGAGGAGGGAAAGCTCCAATTAAGGCAGGAAGAAAGGTGCGAGAGAGGGATGGGTGGTTTCATCAGCTTGTTTAGATGTATGTTGAAAATGGAGGGAAGGAAGGAGGGAGGGACCGTGGGTGGGTGTATGTTTCTGAGAGAGAGAGAGAGAGAGAGAGAGAGAGAGAGAGAGACTGACTCTTAACTATGAAAAAAGAAACAGGCAAAGAGGATGGAAGGCTTGAATTAAGGGGGGAAATGGTGGCTTCATCAGGCTTGTTTAAATGTAGTGAGAGGAAATGGACATACTGAACTGAAGCAACTAATTGTTGAAAATTGAGGGAGGAAGGGTTGGTGTGTGTGTATGTGAGAGAGGGGGGACTCAAAACTATGAAAAAAGGAACAGGTAAAGAGGACAGAAGGCTTGAATTAAGGGGGGGAAACGGTGGTTTCATCAAGCTTGTTTAAATGTTTGGTACATAGCCTGGCAGCCATTGATATTGATGATATATCCTGCTAGTTCTGTACACAGCCTGTGTAGATTCAATAATATTTTGATTTCAAATAATACATGATTTCCTTCCTTTCAAATCAAGGGGGTAATGTCAGCATATATAATTTTTTGGGGGGTAAAAGGTAAAAAGTTCCCTGACCCCTGATTTAGAAGATGCACAGGAACCCTGTCTTCTTTTTCACGTAACTACTCTTTACCTCCTCTCCCACTGGTAGGGTTTCTGGGTCTTGGGGCATCAGTTGAGGTCTCTAAGAACTGTTATCTTCTTTTAGTCCCACAAGTGGCTAGACAAGTCTCAGAGACTGGAGACCAAAGTTTGATTTTTCCGTGTGTATTAAAAGCGTGGCACCTATCTCTGTTCACTTTGTATGTTAAAATATTGGAGAGGGGGGAGGGAGAGATAACCCATCTCCACCCTTTCTTCTCTTGTACTAGCCTCACTTTGTAATTACAAAATGGCAGAATACCAGAAAGCCAGGAGCAAGGGAAGGGGACTGAAAATAAGGTTGGGGAGTACATGCAGTTGTGCCCATTGTGCACAACTTTCTTGTTGGCACAAGAGGGTACTGTGCTATTTTACAAGTACAAAGTGAGGCCTAGCACCAGTGGCAGCACAAACACCACATCGGGGGGGGGAGGAACAATTGTGGGCAAGCAGTGAGCCTTCCAAAAGTCCTAGCACTAGCATATGACCTGGTGGGTGGGATCCCCATTTGTCATGTGTGCTATAGGTACAGGAGCAGGGGATAATAACCCTAACAGGAGTGATGACACATGTCCAACTGTTAAGCACATTTTGTTGTCTGGATGACAGGAAAGAGTTATTTCTCCATGGTTCTGGGATGCCATATTTCTTGATTGGCCAGGTATTGCCCAGATTCTGGGCCCTTTAAGTTGGATCCCACTTGTGCTCATTTCCACTGTTCCCAAAGCAACTCTGCATTTGCCCGCTCCAATGCCCCATCTCTGTAATGACATAAAGACCTATCCCTGTAACATTACACAGCTTATTGCAAGAAAAATGTATTTGTTTTAGAAGGGACACATTCTAGCTATACTTTCTTTCATTCAGGGTTCCATCCGCTATATATAATACACAGTTTGCAAATACTACTTTCTTGCACTATACCTCCCAGATAACTGGTGGGGGGATTCTGGGACTTGTAGTCCAAAGCACTACTTTTCCTAGCTATGATACCAAGCACCATTTTTAACCACTCTGGAAGAAACGTATGCCATGGGAGATACTTACTCATGCAGTCCCCTCCATACCATCCTGCTCTGCATTCGGCGCAGTAGATACCCTTGACATAGAAGTTGTCTAGCGTTCCCCCCCAGGATCCATTGCGGCAGGATTTACAGTTCTCAAAAATCATACATCCTAAAAGAAGAATAAAACCATTTGGTAGTCACAGAGAACTACACCTGATCCACCACCTCCTCCCCAACCTGAACAGGAAATTATGCTTACTGATTCCAATTAGAGACATGCAGACCTGTGGTTTTCTGGACTACAGCTTCCAGAATTTTAGAAAGTGTTCTAATGCCCCACTTTTGCCTCTGGAAGTATATGTGTACATACTGATTTATAAGCCCTAATTAAATGCCATACTAATATCAAAGTACAGCAAACATGTGTCAGTAGATATCCCCGTGATGAACTGCTATAGCTTTGCCTGGCACAGCTCCTGGCCTTTACTCCTACTGATCCCATTACTGAAAACTCTGTTGCCTTAAACTGAGTTATGTTGTCTTAAACTGAGTTAGACCACTGAGCCATCTAGTGAAAGAGTGTCTGTTTTCCCAGTTGGAGCTACCTAAGGCCTTTTTCCCAGTCATACAACTTGAGCTTCTTTTCTTCAGAGATGCCAGAAACTGAATCTGCCATTTTCTGTGTGCAAGGTATGAATTCTACTACTAAGCTACTCCAACCCCACCCCCACCCCACTTTATTATACTGGCTTGTATCTTAATGTTTCTGAGCAAGTGAGAGATGTTTGTGTGTGTGATCTGAAGATAACTGGTTGGATAACTCAAGGTAGATTTCTGTGGCCAAATGTGGGAAATAAATATGAAGATATTATATTGCATCTTATATAATTTAACACCTTCCCTATAGATTCTAAAAGTATAAATCTCAGAGACAGGCAAGACTGGGATATTATAATAATATTCTAGAACCTTCAGAAAGGCATGCAAGGACATAATTTCAAAACTTAAAATCCAAACATGTCTTGAGTAGATGCTTCATCTGCATCTCAGTCTGAAAAATCTGAACAGTCTGAATCTCTCTCTCTTTCTCTCTTTTTTAAAAAAAATGTATTATGAACAAACATGCAGTGCTACAGAGGTATAAGGTTGACAAAGCATAGACCAGAACTGCTGGGCTTAAGAAGCCCCAAAGGAGCAACAGAAACACAACTGACTCACATATATGAATAAACAGAACAGGAGATAACACACCACAGTTGTCAGTTCACCCTGTCACAATTGTGCCAGGCAACAGGAACAAGTAATAAAAGACTGAGGATCTGTGGTTGGAAAAAGCACAATATGTCTAAATCTCCTTCTAGCTCCTTGACTTCATGACAGGGAGACTCTTGACTAAAACAAGCTGTTGAACTAGATTAATAACAGAGCGTTCCCCTTAAAGAATACTACCTTTGGAAATCTAAACATATATGCTAAAAGACAGGCCAAAGATAAACTATCATCTCTAATGGAAATGTATTTCTCATGAGTTCTTCCTTATTCCTTTGCCTTCTTTTTTTTCCCCCCATCTTCCTTTGCTGAGGAATTCAACAACCTGGTTCCTCTCAAGTTTTGTTTTGCTTTGCTTTAAACAGGCTTTGGAGGCTGAAATCTTCATCCTTGGTCTCAAAGCCAAGGATGACTTTAGCCTCTGGAGGACTTCCAGGCATGCATGGTGAAATCTTGGAAATTTCAGCTCCTGGTGTTAGTTTCTATTCCTAGCAAAGAGGACATGCCATGGACAATATGCTAAATGCATTAACTCCCATCACCATAGTGAGTCGTTTGTATTGGCATCCATCCACCCATCTCCAAGGAGAGAAAAACAGTGTGCATTCGCCACCTGGCTGCAAGCAGGATCACTGCATGTTTATACAATGACGAGAACTGAATAGGTTGAAGACATCTGGGTAGTAAATCAATATACCTGGGTGAATTAGGCAGGAGTCGCATTCATTGTCCTCATTCCTGCAGCAGGGGATGGTGTAACCTACTACTTCTTTCCGCCCAGGACATACACACTTGATCTGATCATATTCACAACACTCCCGACACATGATATTCCATTCAGCTCCTGGACAGTTTTCATTGATCACCGTATACTCTGGAGAAAAGTAAAAGAAGAAGAGAGTGGGTGGGAGGACCCAATTAATTATTGACATAACACAACTCATTCCGTTCTGGGCCAATCAATGTGTTATGCAGGAGATCTGGGATCAGATGACCTGGCACATACTTTTTTTAAAAAAATGAAATGCAGATTTGGGGAAGATACTAATGTAGGAAAAGCAGTGGGATGAGGCCTCTTAAACATTCCTCTTATATCATTTTTACGTGTTCTGAAGGTTTTTCTTCCTAACATTTTGCCAGTCTCTGTGGCCGGCATCTTCAGATTGATTCGACACTAAGGGGTAGTCTGCTTTGGGGATACTTGAAGCTAATTTTGCTCTGTACGTCCCTGCACTTCTGCTGTGCACCTAGAGGTGATGTTTTTTTAAAACTAACATTCAAAACTTTGCAACATAAATGACGTTACACACACACACACACCGGACTAAGTTTCATATACAGGCATGGCAACGAGTGTGGGATCCATTGCTTATTAGACTGGGTGTATTCTCGAATTGTCTTGCTTTTTCTTTCAGGTAACTACAATGAGTCTTCATTACATTGACAAATGAGTATATGTGTGATTTTGGGGTGGATAACTGACTGTCTAGTGCAGAATTTGATAGAATAGGTCAAAATAGTGCCAGGATCTACCTTTCTCCTCTGCCCTTCTATTTTGTTTTATTTAATTTTGTAATGCCTGCTGTTCCTTATTTTCAGAAACATTTATTTCTTGTTGTGGTTTCTTTTGCATATTCCAGAGTGGGTGGGTACAAAGAATTCAACATTTTGATAAGTAGAGGCACCTGGCTAGTAATCAGGGACACTGAGGAGACATCTTTCATACTCCCAGACTTTTTCTGAGCATGACTTCAATGGGGGGAGGGGATGAAGCAAGAAAGCAAGCTACTAGGAGTTTTGCCCACAAAGTGAAAGTCCGCCATATTATCAAGGTTTATGGTGCCACATAGTACCAATAACATCACCAATGTCAGTTCACACTTCTGTTTTCCACATTTTCCACTTCAAACCACTTCAATTTGGTACAGGCCACCTCCAGATCAACTTACAAGAGGGCAATCATGATTGATACGGGAAATAGTTATACCGAAATCAGACAGGATGGTATTCATACAACTCAAAATCAAATGAAATGTATCTTGAGATCTCAACTGATAGGACAAAAGGAACAAGACATAAATATTCTGTATTAATAAATACCTTTAATGTGTCAAAACAAAAATGGTAAAATTACCTAATGGTGATTAACACATCCCAAATATTTAATGGAAATCCAGTCTTGGGTGTTAGCTTATGTGGCGGAATGCCCACGTCACTCCTGTCCATCATATGGAGCTCAAGTACAGGAGGGGCAGAATTAAAGTGAAAGACAGTTAGAGAGAAAGGGGAGATAGATAGGGAATGGAAATAAGAGAGTTAGGACATTGAATTGAGAGAGTTAAGACAGAGATTGGAAAGTTGGAGTGTTATAGAGAATAGGAAAGAGTTAAAAGGAATAGAGAATAGATAGATGGTCAAAGAATATTGTTAAAAGTGGTTATTGTGAATAAAAGCACATACAAGCAAACATGTAATCAAATTCAATTTAATGAATGATCCACAACAGCTTAGTTTGAAGATTAATTGTTAATATCCAGCAGAACAAATCTATTTATATATTAATGTGTCAAAATCAATGTGATGCAATAAGACAGTTGCACCTTGTAGGAACAGGTCAAGAGAACGCAGATCTAGTAAAGACAGAAATGTATCATGATATGATTGAAACATTTCTTTCCTGTCCCATGGCCATATCAATACAAGACTGGGTCCTTAGGCTTTCAGGTATTTCGAGGGCCCTCTGCAGAGTGCAAAGAGCCTTTAAAAACTGGAGCCCTAGGGCATCTCAGAAAAAAAAATTGATGGGACCTTAGTCCCTGGGGGCGGGGGGGCTAGGCTTCAGCCTAAGCCTTATGAATAATACAGTCCTGTCTAAATTTCTTGCAAACCCAGCACTGGTCATCTCCCTTGTTACTCTTCTCATCCTGCTGTGGGTGATGTGAGTTGCAATGCAATACCTCTGCAAGGTTGGACACAAGTCTTTTAAAGTGATTTTTTTTCTTTAAATTTTCTAAGGGATGAGCCATCATGCAACTATGTGGCATCTGATGGACTAACCAGTTTCATTTGGCATGGGCTTTTGTGGACTGTAGCCCAAGTTTTCAGATGTTTGAGTGTAGTTGTAGCATTCATTTATGAAAACACAGGGATGAAGGAAAGGCAAAACATCCAGCAGTTTTACATTCTAACCAGTGGTCATTTATGGGAATTAGCTTTAATTCACTTTAATTCATTTATCTGCACTTGGGCACACCTGTCATTACCTACTTTCTTTCCTTTGCTCTCAATGACCACTATTAAGGCATGTACCCCCCATGACTCTAAGATCATTCCTATCTTGGACCTTTTGCACTTCCCTCCACCCTAAGTTTGTACAACTACCTATCTGCTGAGGTACACTTGGTGCATCAAATGAACCAGGTTACAGTCCAGAAAATCTTATGGCAAACACAAATATGTTAATTTTAAGATGCCACAAGTCTCTCTTTTGTTTTCATGTTGGATGAAATCCACTTTTTTGACCAAAAACAAGAGTCTGCTTCTCCCATCACAGAAACTGTCTGTATATACTGTATACATGAGTCACTCAACACACTTATGCCAAACCTGCAATGCAACTCTATCCAAAATTGCAGGGCTGTGGAACAAGTGATGACAGAAGCCCCTCAAGAAAAATGCTTTTTGTAGCTGTTCTTAGAAAGGAAGAACCAGAAGGTTGATACATGACTTGTTCCAGAGCAAAGCCAACAGAAAGATCCCAAGGAATAGGAGTCTTATCTACATATTTTTCAAATATTCAGGATAGGTCTAACCCAGTGATAGTGACTTTCCAGAAGTTTCTCAACTCCAGTCACTCCTCATTGTTGGTTATATTGCTTAGGCGTGATGGTATCTTTCCTGAAGAGGACGCAGAGGCAGGAGGGAGATGTGCTTGGGGGGCATTTTAATTGGTGAGATCTTTTCTGGTAGGCTGACCTTTGTACTCCCTGATCACATGGTCTGAGGGAGTGGGGCTTTGGCTTTAAATTAGTGCCAGCAGAAGCTCTAAGTCCCTTTCCTGAAGAGGACGCAGAGGCAGGAGGGAGATGTGCTTGGGGGGCATTTTAATTGGTGAGATCTTTTCTGGTAGGCTGACCTTTGTACTCCCTGATCACATGGTCTGAGGGAGTGGGGCTTTGGCTTTAAATTAGTGCCAGCAGAAGCTCTAAGTCCCTTTCCTGAAGAGGACGCAGAGGCAGGAGGGAGATGTGCTTGGGGGGCATTTTAATTGGTGAGATCTTTTCTGGTAGGCTGAACTTTGTACTCCATGACCACATGGTCTGAGGGGGTGGGGCTTTGGCTTTAAATTAGTGCCAGCAGAAGCTCTAAGCCCCTTTCCTGAAGAGGAAGCAGAGGCAGGAGGGAGCTGTGCTTGGGGGACATTTTAACAGCGTGAAGAGGAAGCAGAGGCAGGAGGGAGATGTGCTTGGGGGACATTTTAATTGGTGAGATCTTTTCTGGTAGGCTGAACTTTGTACTCCATGACCACATGGTCTGAGGGGGTGGGGCTTTGGCTTTAAATTAGTGCCAGCAGAAGCTCTAAGCCCCTTTCATGAAGAGGAAGCAGAGGCAGGAGGGAGATGTGCTTGGGGGACATTTTAATTGGTGAGATCTTTTCTGGTAGGCTGAACTTTGTGCTCCATGACCACATGGTCTGAGGGGGTGGGGCTTTGGCTTTAAATTAGTGCCAGCAGAAGCTCTAAGCCCCTTTCATGAAGAGGAAGCAGAGGCAGGAGGGAGATGTGCTTGGGGGACATTTTAATTGGTGAGATCTTTTCTGGTAGGCTGAACTTTGT